GGAACGCCTTTCGCCGTGAGCCGCCAGCTGCCAACTTCCCCCAAATACAACTGCAGTCTGATCAGCAGAGCATTGGATAGTGAAGCCGAGACCACGACCAATAGATTTATGAGGAGGACAGAGGGGGGAGGGGGGGGGCGGAGGAGGTGAGACAAGGGGAGAGGGGAGTGGTGGCGGTGGTGGGGAGAAAGGGGGGGGGGGGGTTCGTCTCACACTAAGTGGAGGGTCAGCAAGTTCCTAGTTTCACCGTGGCCAGATTTGGACAGACACTTAACCTGTGTGTCTGGAGTTTTAAGTGATCGGCAGTTGCAGCAGGTTCTGAGGATTCTCCAACATCGCACGCAGCATGTGCCGTTATTATTCTCATCAGACAGGTTTATAGCCCTTAAACCAGCATCTGTAATCCGTCCTATTTTAAAGGTGATTTACGGTTTCAATCATCTCATATTCAGCGCAGCAGTGAGGGCGCACGGGAAGCCTCTGCTCAATGCATCCTGTGTATGAACGCACACAAAAGCGGCGTTGCCTGCGGGGCACCCTGGCAGAAAGAAACTTCAGTGACGACGGGGGATTTTGTCAGTGTACAATAAAACCGCTGTATATAAGCCTACTTAACGGTTCATTTAAAGGTGCTTTTCTGTCCCGTTTAGACAAGACTATAGGTTCTAATCTCCTGAATGATTGCTGGCTTTAATATTCTGAAACCATCATTTTATTAATCTTTCATTATGAGCTCTGTTTTTCCTTCCTCCTAGCCAGATAATGAATTGTTAATTTGTGTGGGGAAATTTATTTGGTTGTTTGTCAGAAGGAGCTTTTCTTTTCAGTCAGTGTGCGCACCTCAGCCTAAGGGTATCGCTCTCTCTTGCTCTCTCTCTCTCTCTCTCTTTCTCTCTCTCTTTTTCTTCTTCTTCTTCTTCCTCTTTGGAGTAGCTGAAACTGAAATCAAATTGTCTCAGTTATTGTTTGTCATGTTGGTCTCACCTTGGATGAACTGTACTGTCAGAACTTGCAGTACATTCCAGATATAAGAAGGCACAGTTACTCTTAAAGGGACACTCCAGCAATCAATGCACTTCCATAAATTTGGGGGCTCACAAGGGATAGTCTAGATTAAAAAAAAGAAGAAGACAGGTTTTAATCAGTGCAGAAGATGCTCAGACATCCTGACGTTTAGTTGCTAGAATCGACCAAACTCCAAAAACACATTCTCATAATTCAACTAGCTAAAGAACCATCCCTAGTTCGTATTGCAGGCTCTTTGTTAGGAAATTTAAGCCTCAAGCCCAAACGGAGATCACCCTGATGACGTGATCAGGGGTTATTCATTTTAGACTTCAGTAAAACTTCCTCCAGAGTCACAGAAGATATCATCAAACTGGTTTTAGAGGCTAAGTAGTACTCATCTCATACTCTGTAAGAATCAGTAGTTTCTTGTTACCACATTTGATAGATGTTACTTGTTTTGTGTGTTACATGTTCTTGTGCTGCATTCGTGTTGTGTTGAATCAAAGACAATTTTGCACCAAGTAGCATTGTATCATGTCCAGTGCAATTCAAAACTCAGTGGAATACCCCTTTAAAAGATAAGCGATATTCTGGTGATATTGTATATTTTTCTTTCCTTCAACAAATCCCATGAAAAGACTACAACCAACAACACACTGATTCAAACAAGTATTGACAAGCTTGAGATACTGCGGGTTATTCCGCTGTGCTACAGAGCTCCACTGAAACTACTGAAAACACATCAGTGTTGCACTGGGTAACGTATTTCTACATTACCGTGAAAATGGTATGTTTATTTTGAATAGAGCCCACATACACTGTTCTGCTGCTGCACTTGTCATTTTAACACCAAATCTGCAGCTGAAAATAGTCACCCATAAATCAACTATGTACTTCTGAAAACTTCTGAGTTGACTGAAAACTACAGTATCCAGCTGTCAATGAAACTATTAGTGAAAAATTTCATCTCGAAAGATATAAATTTTATTAGAACAAATGAGTTTGGGGTGCTGACTGCCACAGACAGGCTAGGGAAGTCAGAAATTATTATAATACAAATATTACTAAAGAGAATAAGTAACATATTGTTTGTTTTGTTCTTTTCATGGCTGTTTTTCTGTTTGTTTAAAAAGAAAAGAAAAGATAAATATAAACTGGCGGCAGCCTTCTCCTCAAGGTAGAGATAGAGAAGATAGAAGACGGCAAGCTTCTTGTTCAGATGTCCTTCAGCAAAACACTCAGAAGCTACAGTAATGTTGTTCTGTAACTGCCTGTGACCTCTGAGTTTCCTGTTGGAAATAATCAATTCGCTCCCAAGTAATTATTAAAATGGAAGACGGCTCATTTGATTTCAATCCTGTGGCTGATTAAAGTCCTGATAACATGCAGCATGTTGCTGTGTGAACTGCTTTGAGTGTTTTTATACTTTCGAACCTAACACATTTTCTTACATGAGATAGATAGACAGATAGATGGAAGTTTATTCAGTGTTTCTCCATGAATCTGTGTCTGTTATGGTCAAGGTTTAGCCATCACCCTAATCCAGACACCACAGAGCGTTACTTAATGAGCACCAAACTTTTTCTCATTCTGGGCCTCAAAGGTCAGATATCTATAAAAGTAGCACATCAGTCTTTCTTAGGGGGCAGACGTGTCAACGAACACATTTAATCTCCATGCAAAGTACCCTCCAACACACAGACAAATCATAGAGTGAAACAGACGGATGAGTCTGCCGCTGAGAGGAAGAGCAAAGGAACTCTGAGATACTAGAAACATTCAGAGCTTCTCCCCGTCTTTCTCCCCCCTCCTCTATCTTTATATCTGTTTCTCTCTCATACAAACACATTCATAAGGGTGTTTATAATGCAGTGACAGATTTCTGCATATATCCATCTCGAGTGGGCAAAAGGAAAAAGGTTAGCCTCACACAAAAGTCAGATGGGGGTCTCCATATATCTCTAAGTGCAGGAAAAGCAGACAAATTCTCCCCTTCCCTTCCTCAATGGATGTGAAAAATGAGGGCAGCAATTGTTGTGACGCCTGAGGAATTGCTTTTCCTAGACAACTTTTCTGCCATATTCATTTATCAGTAAAGTAAAGGCATTGGGAACATATCACCAGTGACTGTCTGGCTCAAAGCACACAACTTCAGCTGTGGAGGACGTAATGCACTCGGCCTAGAAAGGAAAATGACTGAAATAATCAATTAAATGACATGGGTGGATGAAGAATAAAATGTCAAACAGTGTCTAACATAGCCTGTCACATATTCCTAAATCATCCCTAGATATTTCAGATGCTGGGAATAACAGAAACAAAAAGTCATGTTCAGTCTGTAAAGCCATGGCTGAGTGGAATCAACAAATCATGACAGAGACGTCTGTTCGGTGGCACAGGAAGAGGAAAGCTGGCTCAATCAGTTTGACAGTTTTTAGGCTCAATTTCATAGTCCAAAATGCTCATGCCTCTGTTTTGTAAACACAAAAACAGAGGGAATCCTAACTGCACTGGGTTTTTTTTTTTATCTATCTATTTAGTTTTCGCTATTCTTTCGTGTGAAGTTTTTCCATTGTGATATTTCTGAGTGTCAGTTTGATATCTTATAGAGTGGTTAGCTCTCTAGCCCTTCTCAGGTATTTTTGTCATCCCAATGGATTCTAGGAAATGGGCAGACTGCTTGTGGAGATAACAATGTTCAGATGATTGCTGAGTTATTAAAGGAAAATAGTTCAGCAATAATTCATGACACAAATTGCCATCGACATTTCCTTAAATGTTTGTGAGGGACTGAGGAGATAAAGCACATAGGATGTAAGATTATTATTTACAAACAGAGGAAGTGTGAACTGAGCTCTGGCCAGCAGAAAGTTTCTGATATTTAAATGGGTACACCATTAAAAAGAGTTGTTTTGTTCAACTTTGGAAAGCTCCTCCAGAGCCACAGGAGACATTACACAAGTGTTTTCACAGAATTAGTAGTACTCTTTGTGACGAGTAAACTTAACATAGTAGGTGTGTCACTTTTCACGGGGTTTGATCGATCAGATTTGCTTTTTGTGAATGTAGATTTGTGACAATATATGGGAACAGGGAGGAAAATATAGTTTATATATAATCTACCTGTCCACAACAGCCTGAGTAACTGTACCTTTCCCTGCAGAGCCTCAACACAATACAAATCCTCTATGGTCCTGGAACCTTGAACTGTAACACAATATAACCGTGTATACATGTTTCCAATTATTCAGATTCATTAGGCTAATCATCTGTAACAACAACATGAACACACAGGGGACACGTGGAAGCAATTAGATCCATTTATCTGATTTAAGCCACAAAACCTGCTCTCTCTCTCTCTCTGTGCCCCTCTCTCTCTCTCTCTCTCTCTCTCTCTCTATCTCTCTCTCTATCTCTCCCACTCTCTGTCTCTCTCTCTCTCTGGGTAAAGGTAAATGAAATGGTTGTCTCAGTCTTTTGGTATGATGAGGGTACGCAATTATCTCCATGAAGAATACAGTTTTCAGGGAAGTCTAGCATGTGAACTGTGGACCAGATATCTCTGTTGTGTGTCAGCATAAGCCAGCTGTCATACGGTGTACTGTAGGATTTTATAAATGTGCTCAACCTCCCTGGGAAATATTACCACTAGATGGGGTAAAAGTGTTCACACCAGAGTGACTAATCTTTCATCTTGAACATCTGAACAACAAACTCTGAATGAAATGCAGAAAGAGTGAAAGAGAGACGATTCAAATTTTCTAAAGAAACATATTCATTTTCACTCCTGACTATTTCCTGTGTGTGTGCAAAACAAGGTCTTTAGAAAACCCCTGCTGTAACACCACTTGCATTGTAGCCAGCATTCACCCCTCCATCCTTCCTCTTTTTTTCAGTGGGAGAGAGGGTCCTCTTTTTCTACAACAACCTCCACAAATAGAAGCCACAGTAAAGAGCTGCAGGCCTGAGCGCTCTTGTCTCTCTAGGGGCCT